GCCCAGTGAACCCAATGAACTCTAAGGAAGAAATCATTGTTGCTTTAAGCCACTAAGTTTTGGGTTGGTTTGTTACACAGTAATAGACAATTACACCAGGGGCTTCCCTGGTGGCTCAGATGGGTAAAGAATCCACCTGCAATGTGAGAGACCTTGGTTTGATCCCTGGGTTGGGAAGATTCCCTGGAGGAAGGCAGGGCAACCCATGCCAGTATTCTTGCTTGGAGAATTCCATGGACAGAGGAGCTTAGTGGGCTCAGTTTAGGCAGGGCCCAGCTTTCATGGAAGGCTTGACCCCTTGGACTGAGACTCTGTCACTACCAGGAAGCCCTGGAGATGCTCACAGGATTAAATAGAATGAAACTGTCAAAGACACTCCCTCCTCCCCGCCGCCAAAGTAGAGCAGTGAAAGATTACCAGGGAGCAGAATCTCAAGTAGAAATCTTTGGGGGTTTTTGTTTGTTTGTTTTGTTCCTTAAGGAAAAAATGACCCTCACACTTAGAGTTGCTTCAGGTTTTATTAAATTGAGGATGAGGCAGTGGGTACAAGTGAAAAATATTTTCTTACAGAGGCCACCTCCACTCAATGTCGTGTACTGTGAAGGGACAGGCTCCAGTGATTTGAATGATCCCCTTCCCACCCCACTTTCCTCTCCTTGCAGTTAAACGTTCGAGATTGATACCATGCAGGGTCCTGTAGGGCTTCTGGACACAAGGCCTTTCTGTATCCCCCATTTCTTTGATTATAGTAAATAATTTTCATGCAGCCTCCATGACCTTCCCTGAGTTCCAATGGGTAAATTCAAACAGTGATAATTGGGAAAGGGAGGAGGAGTGAGACCAGGGAGAAACAGTCAAGAGCAGCCTTGGGGCAAGTTCTTGTTTCCCCATCAAGGGATTGTTGTTGTTCGTTACTAAGTTGTGCCCGATTCCTTGTGGCCCCATGGGTTTCAGCACGCCAGGCTCCTCTGTCCTCCACCATCTCCCAGGATTTGCTCAAACTCATGTCCATTGAGTTGGTGATGCTATCTAACCATCTCATCCTGGGCTGCCCCCATTTTGCTTTTGCCTTCGATCTTTCCCAGCATGAGGGTCTTTCCCAATGAGTCGGCCCTTCGCATCACGTGGCCAAAGTATTGGAGCTTCAGCTTCAGCATCAGTCCTTCCAATGAATATTCAGGGTTGACTTCCTTTAGGATTGATTTGTTTGATCTCCTTGCATTCTAAGGGACTGTCAAGAGTCTTCTCCAGCACCCCTGTTGGAAAGCATCAATTCTTTGGTGCTCAGCCTTCTTTATGATCCAACTCTCACATCTGTACATGACTACCGGAAAAAACCATACCCTTGATTGTGTTGCATGGAAGAACCAATTCTGACTCCATGATGTATCTGTTTCTTTGACTTTAACCTTTGTTTTCATTGTTTTTGCTATTATAATCACATATAACGACCTGCCTTGGGGAACCTTGCCCCTCTGCCTGAAGAGATTAATACATCCCTGGGCTTCCTTTGTGGCTCAGCTGGTAAAGGATCCACCTGCAGTGCGGGAGACCTGGGTTCAATCCGTGGATTGGGAAGATCCCCTGGAAGAGGGAACGGCTCCCCATTCCAGTATTCTGGTCTGGAGAATTCCATGGACTATATAGTCCATGAGATTGCAAAGAGTTAGACACGACTGAGCAACTTTCACTTTCACTTTCCCTGAGGTTGGGGCTTCCCAGGTGGTGCTAGTGGCAAAGAATCCACCTGCCATTGCAGGAGACCAGGTTTGCTCCCTGGGTCAGGAAGATCCCCTGGAGGAGGGCATGGCAACCCACTCCAGCATTCTTGCCTGGAGAATCCCATGGACAGAGGAGCCTGGCAGGCTCTTGTAGCTCCATTGAGTTACAAAGAGTCGTACTCAAGAGAAGCAACTGAGCACAAGCACACACTCTCTGAGGTTGGTCATTCCAGGAGATATTTGCGAGGTAGTAGTCTTTACTGTAAGTAAGGCTTTCATATCTCTCCTTACTATTCTTACTCTTCTTAATATTCTTTGGAACTCTGCATTCAGATGGGATAGCTTTCCTTTGCCCCTTTGCCTTTCACTTCTCTTTTTTCCTCAACTATTTGTATATACTGCATTTCTTTTTCTTGGGGGTGGTTTTGCTCACCGCCTCCTGTACAATGTTATGAACCTCTGTCCATAGTTCTTTGGAACTCTATCAGATCTAATTCCTTGAATCTGTTTGTCACTATCACTGTATAGTCACAAGGGATTTGATTTAGGTCATACCTGAATGGCCTAGTGGTTTTTCCCTACTTTTTTCAATTTAAGTCTGAATTTTTCAGTAAGGAGCTCATGATCTGAGCCACAGTCAGCTCCAGGTCTTATTTTTACTCACTGTATAGAGCTTCTCCATCGTCAGGGCTGCAAAGAATGTAATCAATCTGATTTCGGTATTGACCATCTGGTGATGTCCATGTGTAGAGTCATCTCTTGTGTTGTTGGAAAAGGGTGTTTGCCACGACCAGTATGTTCTCTAGGCAAAATCCTGTTAGCATTTGACCTACTTCATTTTGTACACCAAGGCCAAACTTGTCTGTTACTCCAGGTATATCTTGACTTCCTACTTTTGCATTCCAATCTCTTATGATGAAAGAGATTTTTTGGTGTTAGTTCTACAAGGTCTTGCAAGTCTTCATAGAACTGTTCAATTTCATCTTCTCTGGCATTAGTGGTGGGGGTATAGACTTGGCCTTTACTTCCTCTACTCCTCCCCCATTCTGTCCTATAAAAGAAGCTGGAATCCAGACCCTGAAAAGATGGTTATTTTGAGACATTTGTCAACCATTTTTTTCTGTCAACTGGCTTTCCGAATAAAGTCATATTCCTTGTCTCAATAGCTTGTTGCTGGGTTAACTGGCCTGTCATGCTGCAAACAGACCAAGTTTGGAATTGGAAACAAATATATTGACTTCGTTGGCAAAGTGATATCTCTGCTTTTTAATTCACTGTCTAGGTTTGTCATAGCTTTCCTTCCAAGGAGCAAGGCATCTTTTAATTTCATGGCTGCAGTCACCATTTGCAGTGATTTTGGAGCCCAAGAAAATAAAATTTGTCATTGCTTCTACTTTTCCCCCTTCTATTTGCCATGAAATGATGAGACCAGATGCCATGATCTTAGTTTTTTTTTTAATGTTGAGTTTTAAACCAGCTTTTTCAATGTCCTCTTTCACCTCATCAAGAAGCTCTTTAGTTATTCTTCATTTTCTGCCATTAGAGTGGTATCATCTGCATATTTGAGGTTGTTGATATTTCTCCTAGCAATCTTGATTCCATCTTGTGATTCATCCAGCTTGGCATTTTGCATGATGTACTCTGCATATAAGTTTCATAAGAAGAATGACAATATACAGCCTTATAGTACTTATTTCCCAGTTTTTGAACCAGTCAGTTGTTCCATGTCTGGTTCTTCTCAGGAGACAGGTAAGGTGGTCTGGAACCCCCATCTCTTTAAGTATTTTCCACAACTTGTTTTGACCCCCACACAGTCAAAGGCTTTAGTGGAGTCAATGAGTAGCAGTGCATGTTTTTCTGGAAATCCTTTGCTTTCTCCATGATCCAACAAAGGTTGACAGTTTGATCTCTGGCAACAGTCTTGCTCTCTTTTCCAGTCCTGTGGCCACTGCTGAACTTTCCAAATTTGCTGGCATATTGAGTGCAGCACTTTAGCAGCAGCATCTTTTAGGATTTTAAATAGCTCAGCTAGAATTCTGTCATCTCCACTAGCTTTTTTCATGGTAATGTTTCTTAAGGCCCACTTCCCTTCACACTCCAGGATGTCTGACTCTAGGTGAGTAACCATACTGTCATGGTTATCTGAGTCATTAAGATCTTTCTCATATAGTTCTTCTGTTTTTGCCACCTCTTCTGTTTCTGTCCTTATCGTGTCCATCCTTGCATGGAATGTTTCCTAGATATCTCCAGTTTTCTTTAAGAGTTTTCTTGAAAGACTCTTGAAGAGTCTTTCCCAGTCCATAGTTTTCATCTATTTCTTTTCATTTAAGAAGACCCCTTTATCTCTCCTTCCTATTCAAGGGATACACACAACAATATCTTTGAGATATTTCACAGATACTGAAACCTGCTCCAGGTGGGGGAAGTTAATGATTAATGATGGTATGCTGCCCATAAGCATGTAGACCCCAGACCAGTTGGACCTGAAGGTTAATGATGCTGACTCCTACTTACCTCACTACCAGCCCAGCAGAAGAATGTCCAGGAGCTGATCATGCCCTCTTTAAACAATTAATATAGAACTTCTCACTATCTTCCCCAAATTGGGACACATAGTTTTGAGGGCACGAGCTAGCTGTGGCCTGCTTTGCCGGCAAAGCACTAAAGCTATCCTTTCCTATTTCACCCAAGACTGTCTCTGAGATTTGATTGGCACCAGTGTACAGAGATGCTGAGATTTCCGCACCAGTATTGATGTGAGGTGGCATGGGAGGGGGTGGTGGTGGCTGGGTGCGCAGTGGTGTTGCAGACAATCTGAGGCTAGAGGTAGCCTCTTAGGGAACCACCCCGGCCCCCGCCCCCAACTGAGATCCAGTGGCTCTGCGGAAGTGAAGGCAGCTCTGGGAGGAGAAAGAGGCTCCTCTTCCTTTCGACGGCAGGGTTTGGAGTTCTGCGGGTAAACTGAGTCCAGGGGCTTAGCTCTGCTTGTTGCCTGGCAGGCAGCTTGGGCTTCACCTTACGCCCAAGCACAGGGCAGGCAGGGCTGGACTAACTGCTTTTCTTTTGGGGGACAGGTGGGAACGTTAGGTGCCCAGATTGAGGAGGGGACGTTGGAGCTCAGGTGGGGAGCGCTGAGTCCCGGTCCCTCTGCAAGAAGGGACACAGAGGTCCTCTGCCAACGCGGCCTCAAGCCTCCCCGCCCCTGGCCAGCCGAGTCCGGGAGGAGCTCGGCGCGTCCCCGCCTATAGGCGGAGCGGGGGCTGGGCCTGAACGGATTGGGCGGGGTGGGTCGGGGACGCGAGGCTGAACGGGGCCCCACACAGGCCGCGGCGGCTGGCTCGGGCCCCTAAGGTCCCAGCGGCGGCTGGAGGAGGAAGCCAGGCGGCGGAGGAGAAGGGGAGGCGGAGGAGGCCGAGGTGGAGCGCCGCTCGCGGAAAACTCTCTTCCCCGGCTCAGCAGGGAAAGGTACAGCGCACGCCTGCTCCCCGATCCTCGACCCCCGGCCGCCGGCCCCGTTCGGGCTCAGGCTGGGGCTGAGTCGACCGTGGGAGGGTGAGGGGCCCGCAGCAGCCCCGAGGGCTCGGCCGGTCCGGGGCTCCGGCAGCTAGAGCGGCGGTCACGCGGGAGGGCGAGGGTATCCGGCGTTCCCGGAGGCTGCCGAGGGCGGTGGGTGCCGCGCCCCTTTGCTCGTGTTGCGGGAGGCGGCGGTCCGACCCGGCGGCGGTGGTTCCCGGGGCAGGGGCTGCGCTGGGGTGGAGGGCAGGCGGGACCCTGGGGCTGCGTGCGGCAGGAGAGCACCCAGTGCGCCCGGCGGGCGTCCTCGGTGGGAGCAGACAAAGCCGGGCGCTGACGCCCCGCGACTGCTGGGGAGACCCAGAGGGTGGGCACTGGGGAGGAAAGAGAAGGCGCCGGGGCGATGGTCGGGACGCTGGAAGAGTCTGGGCCGTCCTCCCAAAGGGCGTCCAGGTAGTCTCCTCGTGGGAGGTATGGGGGGAGTCCCCCGGACAGGGTGGGGAGCAGCTCTCTCCGAAGAGCCAACTAGGTGCTCACAGGCTGCTGTAGGCTAGGCTCCCTACCTTCTCGGAGAAGGGTAGGGAGTGTTGAGTGCTCAATTTGGGGGAAGGGCTTAGAGATAGAGCTGGTGAGAGGCCTAGGGACCCCCTCGGAGCTTGCACTAGGAAAAGGCATGGCCTGATAAGACAAGCGCTGTAGCTGGCACCTGTGGTGAGTTGTGCCCACAGGTTGGTTGCAGGATCTGCCGGTGGTTGCACATCCCGTGCCAGACCGCAAAGTAGGTGGGTAACTTGTCTATGTTTGGAGCAGGCAGCAAAACGGCAGGTGTTTAAGGTGGGGTCATTGGAATGGGCATGCATGCATCTGAAAGTGTGTAGTGAAGGACCCACATCTGCATTTTGCCTCTTTGCCCCTCTTGCCCTTTCCTCTTGTTAGCTGAGGTCGAAGCATCCCAGTTCCTGCCACAGGCTAATGCCTCCACTAGGATTCCAAGGTAGTCTGCTCCCTGTCTGTCATTCTTCAGTTACCTCTCCTCCTGGATCATTCACAGCAGTACTTCTTAACATGCTTTGGCACCCTACCACTTCCATTTTGTGATCCCCCCCCCCCACCTTTTTTTCTTCATCCCTCATTCTCCCCCAGCTACAGATAACCTCACTTCCCTTCACAGCAAAACTTCTCCAGAGAGCTGCCTGTACCTATGGTCGCTGTGTTCTTCAGCTCACTTGACCTGGCTTTGGTCCCACCACTTCATTGAAACTGCCCTAGCAAAGGTCTCCAGTGGTTTACACTCCCCTACAAGCAGATCTTCCTTGACCTCCCTTGGTCTAGTTCATTCTTTGCAATGTCCTCTCTTGACTGTTGGTTTTCTTCCTCACAAACCCCCTTTCCTCCTACCAAATTACTTGTTTTTAAGGATGACTCCTTCACACAGTTGTAAATGTTGGAGGATTCTGGGCTCTGTTCTTAGCTCCCTCCTTTCTCCTGAGTCCCTTCTATTTACGTTCCCCTCAAGCTCTCTTTTTTTCTTATAATTTTTAAAATCATTAAAATCAAACATTAATTTACTAGCACAAATCTTAAATGTACATCATTTTCATTCTCATAATTTTATGTAGCAAATTTTATCTTCAGTTTCAAGCTATCTAGCCACAATCTAATGATTTATGATGTTATAGGTATGAAAACTTGATATGGATGAAACAGAATCCTGACTGCACTCCCCAAGCATGACCCTCCTCTGGCCTTCCCATCTCAGTAAAGGCCCCATAACTCACCTGCCATCAAAGACAGGAAACTAGGTGGCATCTTTTTTCCTTCTCTCCACAGCTGGTACTACATCAAGTTCTTTTGCCAAATCTATCTCAGGCTATTCTTCATACTCTTGACTCCATGCTACTGCCCTAGGCTACTGCCCCAGGCCAAGCTACCTTTTCTGTCTTGCTTGAATATTGTAGTAGCTTCTGCCTGCCTTCCCCAAGTCTGCAGTTGTGTCCTCAAATCCATTTTAACAGCAATAAGAACATTTTAGAAAAGTATTGAGTAGTCTCTCATTCCTCTAAGACCCTCAACAGCTCCCTTTTGCACTTGGAGTAAAATTTCAAAGCTTTCCCCTGGCCTTTCAGGTCTTCAATGATCTGGTCACTGCTGACCTCTCCTAGGCTAATCCTGACCACTGTCCCCTTTGCATTTTTCTGACAGCCACACCTGAATCACTTCTGCCATTTGAACACCTAAGCTTTTTCCTGCCCTGTGGCCTTTGCCTGTGCTGTTTTCTCTGCCTAGAATGTACTTCCAAGGTTTTCTACTGGACTGGCTCTGCTCCTTCTTATTTTTCAGGTCTTACCTCAAATATGTCTTCCCATCATTCTTTGTAATTCATCATAGCACCTGATTTACTTTCTTCATTATGCTTGTCACAGTTCACAACCATTTGTTGCACTTGTCTGTTTACTCCGTGTAGCGTCCTAAGGACTGGCCCACTGTTGCATCTGGAGCATCTAGCAGAGTGCCTGGAATGTAGCCAATACTCAGGCAATCTTCAGCCAGGTGGGAATGTCAGGCAGTGCCAGAGCCCCCTGTAAATTTCAAGTGATCATAGGACTTTTATTTTCTTTCCTTGAAAGCAGTTGTGCAAATCATGCAAGAATCTGAGGGGGCCAGTGGGAAAAAGGGAAGTAGAGATGGTACAAATGGCTTAAAGGTAGGCCTGTACACGTAGTGGGAGACTGGCTGGATTTGGGGGGTGTGGAGTTGATGTGGATTGCTCTGGGTTGGGGATCAATGATTTCCTTTGCTCCCTTTGGTGGAAATCCAGATTAGGTCAACAGAAGGGTATGTACCTGTGTGCTTGTGTATGTTTTCTAACTCAGGAGATAGAGATGGCCTGCGCAGCCAGGGCTTTATTTCAGGTTAGGGTGACTGCTGGGTACCCAGCCCTGAGGGCAGAGAGTTGAAGGGGAGGAAGAAGCTGAGGTTGGGGGGGGGGGGGGTCCTCTAGTCCTTTATCTTCCCACCCACAGCTCTCCTCTTTGCACAGAGGAGCCCAGCTGAGAACTGAGCTGTTTGGCTAGTGCTCTCAGAATGGAGGGCTAGGAGTCAAGGGTCTTCAGATCTGGGAGTGGGAAGCTCAGCCCTAGACAGGGAGACTGGTGATGGACCAAGATAACATTGTGAGGTAAGTGCTACACCTAGAGGCTTGGGGTTCAGATCACAACTGGGTCGGCATGCGAAGGAAAGGCTTTGAGCTGGGATAGAGGGGGCAGAAAAGAGGGTGTCCTGGGTGGGAGAAATTGAGCAGAGGCCAAGAGGCTAGTCCAGGGCTCTGGTATACTCACTGGGTGCCAGGGAATATTCTAAGGACTGTGCAAATATTAGCTCCTTTCATCCTCTTAACAGCTCTATAAGGTAGGACTTATTCCCATTTTACAGATTGGAAGACCAACCGGCATAGTCATACAGCTCAGTGGTGACAGAGCAAGGATTTGAACTTAGGCAATCTGGCTTCAGAATCCATGCTCTAAGTCACTCTACTCTGTCACTTCTGTCTTACCTCTCAGATATGCAAGCTGAAGTCTTTTTAACAAGTGTTTTTTCCCTGATTCCCAAAGGTGTTTGGCCTTGGGGCTGGAGAGGTAGGAAAGAAGTCAAACCCTCTAAGGTAGAAGGGGTCCTTACTCAGAGTGGGTGGCTGAGTCTGTCTGTTTCATGTCTCCCCTTTTCTTCTAGGAGGGGCACTGTGCCCAGGCCAAGTAGGATGTCATGCATAATGTGATTTCGGGGAGCTAGGGAGGACATTTTGTTCTGGTACCAAAACAGCTCCCTGCTTGAGATGCCACCATTAGAATGTCACTTCTTTGATTCAGCATTGCCCCATTGCCCTCTTCATCTGCCTGTGGCCACTCCAGAGAGGTCAGATAGGAGCTCTGCAGATAAACTAGCCTGTTTTGGATTCCATCTAGGATGTTATGAGGTGGAGGTTCAGACTTGGCCTTGGGAAACCTGGATGAGGGTCTAAGTAGGGCTGGGTTGAAGGTGGGAGTAGAACTGGGGGAACAGAGAAATGGGAGCTGAAAAGAGCTTAATCTACTTCAGTATTGGCCCTGACCTTACTTCTTTTTGTGTCTGTAAAATGAGAGTCAAGAGACTTTTTTTTCTTTGATCCCCAGAGGCTGTAGAAGCCAGTAACTCCTTGAGGTCCATGCTTGAATACCTTCTTGCAGACCCAGGGTAAAGGAGGGAGGACTTCCCATGGGATGCCAGCCTGCAGGAACTGGGCCAGAAAGGAGGGGGTGGGCAGGAGGGTGTGGCAGCCTTGTCCTTTGAGGTTTTCCTGTTTGGTCATGAGGATGCCTCGGGGCAGGTGACTTGGCCTTCCAGGGGCCTGGCTAAAAGGCAGAAAAAAGGTTTGTTGACCACACAGGGATGGAGTTTCCTTGCTCCACATTCTGACCCCAGATTTTAAGGGATCTGCTTATCTATCTCAGCAGACCTCCCAGTCCCCGAGGAAAAGAGGGAGATTCGGTGGTGTTCTCTTCTGCATTTTCCACCTTGCTGCTGGAAGCTCATTAAGCCCATGTTTCTGAGGAGTACTTCTTCTCTGAAGTATACAATGGGCTTGTCTACCCTGCCTGAATCCTTGTCTGCTGAGTTGAGGTGAAGACAGGCTAGAGCTGAGGGTGGACTTCCCAATAACTGTCACTGGGCCTTGTTACCTGGAATTGGCATCTGACATCTTCTGTGCCCCATCCTGGTGCTTGGAGCCACTGGGAACACAGGTCAGGGTCCCCACTAATCAGGAAATAATAGTGAGCCATGCCAGTTGTGATATGGTAGAACGTGGCTCAGAACAGCTTCTTGGAGGAGGTGGTGCTTTAAGGGGGCTCTGAAGTCCTGGGTGACTTTGGCCAACACAGGAGGGGATGGTTTTCCTGAGGTGGAGTGGGAGCCCA